TGCAATTTGAATAGAGGGCAAATGGTATTCAGAATTTGCTAATATTCTGAGTGTGCAGTTGGGAGAGAAAGATAGAAGTCAAATGATGTCAAAGGATTCTGGCCAGGGCAACTGGAAAGATGACATTAACTAAAGGAAATTTTGCATAGACCAGATCACCCTCCCTGACTCCCCTCCACCAGTGGAAGGAGAACATATTGGAGATTCCTTTTCATACATGTTTAGAAAGTAGATACAAAGAAAAGAAAAATACACATTTGGACTAGAGGACATGTCCCCATTCTCCACCTGTGCAGCAGACTATTCCCTCTTCCTGTGGCCAGATGTCCCTCCCCCTGAACCTTGAGATTGTTGTTGTAACTTCTCATTCAAAACATGAACGGAAAGCACAAATACAAAGTGCCATGTTAGAAGGGACTCACAGTCTGCCTCAGAGTCTTAACTAGTTTGGGGGAAATGGAGCTTTTCTTTAGGGAACTGAAGACTGCAATGTCCGAAATGTAAAATAATTATGTTAAAAGAATAATCAGGATTTCAGAAAGATGGAGGCAGTAGTGCAGTTTTGATTGTCCCCAAACAAAGAAAAGAGAAAGACACATTTGGCCTAGAGGCCATGGAAATAGATGAAAGAAAGCCAAACCCTGGAGTAGCATTTACCACAAAAGTAGAGAACACAGTGTTCCCTAGGAACCTCAGAACAAGAGGATAGGGCAAACCACCAGCTGGAGGCACCAGACCTGCCTGGCAGCAGCACTTGCAGCAGAGGAAATGGGAGACAGGAGGCTTTGAAAGCTCCAGCAGGCATTCCTGCAAAGCACTGTGGGCCAGCAGGAGAAGAGCAGCTGAAACTGAGAGGGGTTCTGGCAAACCTGGAAGTTAGTACATTTGGTTTCATATATCCATAGGTTCTGCATCTGTGAATTAACTTCAGGTCAACAGTATGCAAAAGAAAAATCAAATCTCTACTAACTATGTACAGATTGTTTCTTGTTATTATTCCTTAATCAATATAGTACAACAACTATTTACAAATCATTGACTTTGTATTAAGTATGATAATTAGAGATGATTTAAAGCATTCAGGAGGATGTGTATAGTGTCTATGCAAATACTACCTCATGTTAAATAAGACTTGAGCATCTGTGGATTTTAGTGTCTGTGAGGGTTCCTAGATGCAATTCTCTGTGGATACTGAGGAGCAGCTATAAGTACAAGTGTCCCACATTCAAACCTAAAGGGCTGACACTTTCCGGCCCCTCTATTGTCTTGAAAAATGAACAGCCAACACTCCTTTTCAGAACATGGCCCCGCACAGAAGAGAAATTGCTGGGAGGAACAATAGACATAAAGGATAAAACTTGCAGGTGGGAAATGGCCAGAAGATCTTAGAAAGCAAGCCACCATGTTTTTGAATAGTACAACAAGAAGGGGAAGAAGCAAAAGGAGAAAAAGGAGGAGAAGAAGACCAGAAAGAGAATAAGTAGGGTAGAGGAGGCAGAGGGGAGGGAAGAGGGAGAGGAAAGGTAGAGAGAGAAAGGGAGGAAGTCATTGTTCCATTCCACTAGAAAATGTATCCTCTGACACACTTTTATAAAGACAACAAATATCACTTAAAAATGCATAGCAAGAAAAGATGGAAACCAGATTCCATATAAAGGTATTTTAAGAAAAAGAATTGTATTCTCTCAATGATAACAAGTCTAAAAAGAACCCACCAAGCAGATCAGATGGTAAACAACTCTTTCAAACCTAGCTCAAAGACATTACATAAAACAATGCAAAATATGACAGAACATGAAAGAGGAATGGGGAATTATTATTTTATGGATAGAGAGTTTCCGTTTGGGATGGTGAAAAGTTTTGGCGATGAATAGTGGATAATGCTATTCCATTATCTATTTAAAAATGGTTGAAATGGTGAGTTCTAATGTTATATGTGTTGTTCCACAATAAAAAAGAACAATGTAGAGCTGGGGTGGTGGCTCAGTGGTAGAGTGCTTGCATAGAATGTGTTGGGCACTGGGTTTGATTTTCAGCACCACATATAAATAAATAAAATAAAGGTCAATTGACAATTAAAAAATTAAAAAAAGAAAAATATAAATGGAAATTAGATGATAGAACTCATAGGTAGACAAAAGGGGAACACAGAGTAAATGAAATAGTAGCTAAAAGAAAGAAGAATTTTTTAGAAAGATGATAAAAAATAATCCAGAGACAATGGTCAATATACAATGAAGAAAGCCAGGAGGGTTCTACAAAGAATAATGCAAACACACATAGGAATTTAGTATGCCATAAAGGTGTCATTTCAAATCAGTAGGACAGATTATTCAACAAATTGTGATACATATATTTTGGGGTTAAATAAACTATCTCTGGAAGGATCCAATAAGTGGGAAAAGGCAAAGTCTCCTGTGGGAAGAGTGGTGAAGATGGGGGCTGGAAAATTGGAGAGAATGGGTAGATTTCCATTTAGTACTATTTTGCATCTTTTAAAGTGTTCTATTGTGTGAATACTTCCAAATGTTGAATGCCAGAGTTCAAATCCCACATTCCCAGTTAAATGGTAGTTCTTACTCTTGAGCAAATTATTGACATTATCTTTTAAAGATCAAGAGGCTGAGCATAACTTTCAGCCCCAAATTCTCAATGAAATCACTAGTGAAAACAACCCAATGCCCACAGGAGATGTGTGGATAAACAAAGATGGTGTATCCACACAATATATCAGGCGGTCTTAACTGGGGAGGAAAGACATTTTACAGCATGGATGATGATCCTTGAAAATAGTCTTCTAAGTGGGAGAAACCATTTATAAAGGTCACATATTGTGTGATTCCTCTTATATGCAATGTCCAGAAAAAGGCAAAACCAGAGGGATTAATGTTTGCCTGGGGCCAGGAGGTGGGGGGAGTGGGAATGACCACTAACATGTACATTTTGGGATTATGAAAATGTTATGAATTAGAAAGTGGCGATGGTTACACAACTCATGAAAATCTTTAATGCTCCTGAACTGCACGTTTTTAATGAAGAATTTTATGTGAATTTTAAGGAATAATTTATAAAGTACTAATCTTTTGATGGTGATGGTCTGCTGCCTCCATCATCTTCTTGCCCCACTCCATTCCTTCCCTATCCTCCCGCCAGGTCCCTCATGGGGCATCTGAGCCCCAGGACTCTTACCTCGTGCAAAGCCTGGGCACCTCAGGCAACCGTTGGACTGCTGGATCCTGCAGCGGTTGGTAGGCTGCACCCTGCGCATGCGCACTCTACTCACATTGGCTGGAGATAGACGCCAAGAACTAATTTTTTTCGTGAGCTTCGGTTGATGGCAATGTCTCTGAAGGTGGCACGTGCCGGAATTAATGGAGGAGGACCTGACAGCCAATCGGTTTAGTATTTATCCCCCTTTTGAAGCATGATCTCTCTACTGGTAACCTCTGGAAGCTGTGCTCTGAAAGCCAGGTTGGCTGCCTGCTGATCACTTGCCAACCCCATGGACTTGAGGCCAAGGCCTCAGATTGAGGCCTTGCTTCTCTGCATACAATTTGATCATTAGTAAAGTGTCAGAGTGATACTGGCCTTTTGTGTGAATGTTAATTGAAGTAGTGCATCTCTGCTGCCCTGGTTCATGGGTATTGAGTCAATGGTGATTTATTCCAGGCCATGTTCTGCGTGGGCCTCAGGCTACTGAGTTCACTTGGCCAAGTCCTAGGTTATCAGCTGCACTCAGGGTAACTGTGACCCCCTGGGACACCCATGGTAGATTCCCCTTGTTTTCTATTCACCTTTCCCAGCCAGGATCTTAAATGACCCAAACATGCTGGAGATGTGCCCTGAATCTTATTTTGTAAAATGCCTCTCAGGTAGGTCATAAGACCTAGGCCATTCTCCATGAGAACTTTTGGTTTGATTTTTGCATTTTTTCTGATCAACATGAACCCATCTTCTGGCCTCTTCAAGTTGCTTCACATTTTATGCTTTTAAACCTACCCTCAAACTTTGTATTTTGCTTCTGCCATTTTACCTAATCCTGATTCTTCCAGAAAGCTTATACATCTCTCTCATTTTTGCTTTCCTAGTGCTGGATCATATGCCTTCCTCTTTCCTCCATTCCTATCCTTTACCCATGTTATCCTAGTCAAGTTTTAGTTCCTTTCTTCTCAAGCAGACTGTGATCCCCACTTCTACCAAACAATACCAGAGTTAATGGCAATTCAAACTCAAAAGTCCTCATTATTATTTATCTATTAATCAATTCCATTACATTTCTTTATTCGATTTTATTTTTTTAAAGTATACCGGAATGAGGAAAAATGTTTGATAGCCAAGTGGTAACAGAAGGCCTCTTTATTATCTGTTAACCAATTCTATTACAATTCTTTATTCAATTTTGAATATTTATTGGAATAAAGAAATTTGTACCTACATAACTACATATTTAAAAAAATTGTATCTACATATATGTGGAACATTATGGGGTGCCCAAGTGGTGCCAGAAATCCTCTTTATTACTTATCTCTCAATTCTATTACATTTATTTATTCAACTATATTAAGTCTTAAAAATGTATAAATGAATACCTTTGTATCTATGTACCTCTCTCTCAATATATGTGGAAAACTATTTGTTATTCAAATGGTACCAGAAAGCCTCTTTATTGCTTACCTATTAAACAAACCTATAGCATTTCTTAACTTTATTACATTTTGAACTGTGTCTAAATGAATGAATTTGTATCTCTCTATCTATGTGTATATGAGAACACTATTTGGTACCCATGAAGTACCCAAAGGCCTCTTTATTTTCTATCAATTCTCAGTGGTACCAGAAGGCCTCTTTATTATGTATTACTTATATTATTATATTACATTATTAATTTAATTTTATTAAACATTGAATGTTTATGAGGATAAATAAATGTGTATCTCTCTATCTATATACATGTGGAAAACTATTCGGTCCCTAAGAGGTACCACTGATCTCAGCAGCTTTTACATCGTGTAGCCATGGTAGCAAGCAATCTCCATCTCTCTTTCCCTCTCAATGAAACACTGCACTCAAAGCAGTGTACTTGGCAGCATTCTCACGCTCTTGTTGAGCCTTCTTCTTCATGGCTTCCCGCTCTGGCCTCTGGTGTTTGGTGATGGGAGTTGATACTACTTGCCCAGGAACATTGGGTTTCCTCCATGGAATTGGTTGTAAGGCAAAGTCTTGGAGGAGATATTGGTTTTGAGGCTTGGGTGGTTGTGACTAGGGCTTAGTGCCAACATTGGGAACTGGTTGCCAATGAAGAGAAGTACAAGATGATGTTTTGTAGGGTGCAGGCCCAGAAGCAGCAGACCAAGGGACACTAGGCTGGGTAGAAGCGCTCACACGTGACTGAATGGCATGAGTCAAAACGGGGTGAGCTGGCTTGGCAGGACGCATCCAAGATGGGTTGGCAGTAGCTGGTTGGGATGTGTTTCTACTGCCATGGGTTTAGCTGAGCTAGTTGGACCAGGCTGGGCAGGGTAAGCCCCAGTGGGTCTCCGTGAAGTGAGTCTCCGTGAAGCCAGAGACTGTGGCCTCCAATTGATTACTGGTCGAGGTGGAGGTTTCTCCAGGGTCAGAAAAGGCAAAGGTACCAATTTTACCTTACCAGGTGGTGGAGGCTCATCAATGGAAGGAGAGGGACCCTCTCCTTCAGCCCTGATATCTGGATTCTGGGCTTTGATTTGTGATTTCTCAGGACCCTTAACCGCCAGCCATGGTTTCATAGCTGAGTATGGATGGGGGTCTTGGGTAGTGCCTGAATTTCCCAGGGCCTGGGAGGAAGAGAGCCCAATTTTCTTATCATTCTTCTTCCCCAGTGCGTGGAAAACCTGCACCAACTCCAGCATGTGCATGTCAAGACAGCTCTGAGGTCTCTTGGCGAAGGTCTCTTGGCAAAGCTCAGGTTGGTTCCTCTTCCGCTTCATCTTGGGCACATTTGGCTTCTCTCCTGCCTTGACCTTATTGCCTGGCTGCTTCCTCTCCTCGACTTTCCTGGAGTTGTTTTCTCTGGTCCTCTTGGTCTTTTCCTGCCCATGGCCCTTAGCCTTGCTGTTCCTGCTGGATGCAGCTTCCTGAGCTTTGCTGTGAGAGTGCTTGTCTGTGTGCTCAGGGGCCCTACTACTGTCTGCATCCCTGTGAGCAACTTCTCCTCCTAATGCACATTCCAGGTCCCTTGGCTGCATTTTGGCCTGAGAAGTTCCACCAGGAGACTCTGAGGCTTTATGTTTGTTCTTCCTCACTGGGTCACTAGGACCCTTTAAGGCACTTGTGATTTCCTGTTCCTGATTCACCATGATGGCTTTGGTGTCATTGGATTTTGTTATTGTAGGACTTTCAGGTTGGTCAATGTCTTTCAAGGAACTGAAAAGCTCAGGAAGGTGAAAATCTCCCACCAGTGCAGTGAGGTCTACAAAACCACTGCTAAATTCAATCCCATTTTCAAGTGTGCCTTGGTCCTCAAGACTCAGGCTATTCCTTTCTAGATGGATATTTTCAGAATGTGGCTTCTCCTCTTGGTCCAGAGGACCAATGGAGGCCAAAAGCTGGTGGATTTCATGGATGTCTAAAGGGAGTAGTGGAGGATCCTGGTTCTCCATGGCAATCTGGTAGGTGTTTAGTGGTTCTGAGATCATGGTGTTAATCTCACACAAATTCTTAATCTCTGTTTGTTCCTGGCTTTGATTTGGAGGCAATGCGAAAAAATTAGTAGAACTCTGGACTGATGTTATTATGGAAATGTCCCCAAGTTCAGTTTGTGAGTTTTTCTCAACTATTTGGCTTTTTCTGTTTTTGCAGGTGTACAGGAATTCCGGAGGCTGTGGCAGACAAAATATCTGACTTGGAGATTGCAATCCCAAGGAAGCCTCCATCCCTATGGAAGTTTCCATCACTGCAAAGAAAGGAATCAAGGACGATGGTAAGTAGGATGCTCCCCCTGCCCAGCAACGCACTAATTAGGGAACCTGTGGACTGTGGATAAGTCATTTCTATTAGCTCTTTTTAAGGACTGCGGACTTGTCTCTTTCGGAGGTTCCTGTTAGTTACAGGTGATCAGTTGTTGACACAGTTTTGGGCTAACAGGTCATCATGGCAGCATGACTCAGTGGTGGAGCACTTGCCTACTCTCTGGGAAATGAACAAAAACTGTTTTAGAAAGTCTCTCATTCTTATACAGGGGCCTCTCAATTCTCTCTACTCTCCCCAGAATGTAAGAACAGCCTGAACTAGGAGAGCGTGAAGCTCTTGCTCAGGAAATATATGTGAAAGGACAGATTTTTAGACCCCTGCTTTGGACAGCATCACTGCATACAAAGTTTAAGTCCTGCAGCAAATTAAGGAAAAATTATACTGTCACTCCCTGGTATATTATGCAGTATCTTCCTAAGAGAGAGATCAAAGTAAAACTATGGGAAATAAATGTATAATGTTGTGGTGTAGGGGGACTGATCTGCAAAAAATTGTGAAAATAGCCTCCTTCAGTGTCCTGGAGGTCTCTTAAATGCATCCTGGATGGCCATTATGGTGTCCTGCATTCTTGTTTACATAGTCTTCAAATGTGGAATGCTAAACAAGTATGGTGGATAAAGTTTTGGGACTTAAATACTACAGGTCTGTGGACCACAGCTACCAGCTGAAATCTTAACCCTCAATTGAAAGGTAAT